TCAGACACACGTCCAGGCGCTGTTCTGGGTCGATCGGATGCCTGTAACTATTTTTCTGTTTCATCGTGTGGGGGGTCAACAGCAACAACAACTCTTCAAACTGTCCCACAGACATCCTGAAATAGGTCCTAAAGCAACCATGATACAACTTCAGTTCCTGTACCAACCAATGAAACTCGCCATGTTCTCTCCTTCTTTTCAGTATAGGATGGACCCAAAACCTTCTTTGTTTTCTTTTTTCATGTAGCAGGACAAGCAGTACATTGTCGTCGCTTGATGTGGAGTCCATCTTTGTAGCGCGACGTTTTAAGAAAATATCGCTTATTCGCATCGCGTTCGGTGTGAATACTTTTGGTGCATTAAATTCGCCTGCGTTTTTGGCACTTTTTCGTCTCGCTTATTTGCGTCGCATTCGGTCCTTATGAAAAGTCCTTATGACTTGTGTCTGAGTGTTTTACCCCCTGTTTTTGCACCTCTCTTACAAAAAACACAGCGCTGTGATGAGTAGCATATGGTATATGCTTTGTTTTAACCATCTAAATAATTACCCCCAATAAATAACTCAGACATCCGTTGTCTCATGTTTCCCATGGGTCAAAATGCGCAAAATCACTACTCTGTTTTAGCTGTATGTCCATTTTTGTTTTATTCATCTCACACTACATAATAACGGCTGTGTCTTTTTTTAATAGCTGTTTCGCACCTCTACAATTACTCAAACCTAACTCAAGGACACCTGTCGTGTCCTCTTTTGAAACTAAATATCTGGTCAACTCTATTTAATATACAAATCACTACTATACTTTCTATGTACCATTTGTTTTATTCACTATAGTGTACTGGCAGTGGGCGTTTTAACTAGTGTCAAGCCACAAAATCATATTCCGATTTGTGCAGATTCTAGTATTGAAACTACATTATTTTAATGTTGAAAAGTTGAATTTGTACACTGAATTCCTTTGAATTTAAATACCTTATAGTGTTAATACTGATCATTTTGTCCAGATGCATCGTCAGCTTGTCAGTGTTTCTTATTAGCTATTAATCCTGGTGTGTGTGCTGTCGGTGAGCACACTTAAGAGGAAATCCAGACCATCAAAGGTTTTTTGAACTGTTTGCGGACCCTTTTACTGGACATCCATTTCAGAGAATAGTTCTGTGTCTTCAGATGGTTCTAAATTCATTTAATGTACCACTCAGAGATGTAGCTTATATGTAATACATCAGTAAATTATTCCCTCAATTTTTCTTTGTATTAGTTTTTATTTTTTGGGACACATGTTTAAAGGCACAGCCTGGAGTGCAGGACAGTGTTTATCAGCCTTCAGAGCCCAGCACACAGTTTTTGTAGTTACACATGAAAAAAGTGTAAAAAATACAGTGGTGTGAAAAAGTGTTTGCCCCCTTACTGATTTCTTATCTTTTTGCATGTTTGTCACACTGTAATGTTTCAGATCGTCAAACAAATCACATGTTTAAAGGCACAGCCTGGAGTGCAGGACAGTGTTTATCAGCCTTCAGAGCCCAGCACACAGTTTTTGTAGTTACACATGAAAAAAGTGTAAAAAATATACAATATTTGTCAGTCCCATAAAATCACACTTTTCTTTTTCGACTCACTTAAAACATTTTTTCTAACAGTCAGTGAGGAAGTATCCATGTCGACAATGTGAGCAGTCTTTCAACTCCACAACCAGTCTGAGAAGACACATTCGCAGTGACCATGGTGGAAAAAAGCAGGTCTACACTTGCTGGTAAGATTTTTATGTTTGAAAATTAACTAATCACTGTTGCCACATAGTTGTTTTATCAAATTACTAGGGCAATCATTCAGTTTCACTACCTTTTTAATTTAATTACATTTTTTTTTTACACTTGAGGTATTGCACGGATACCAAGACGATATTCACAACGAGTGTCAGTTTGAAGAACCACATTAGTTTAATGCATGGAATCAAAAATCCTGACCTTGGCCAAATGCCGGAAACATCCATTCAGGAATCAACGAAGACTTGGGGCAAGGTATTTATTTATTTATTTATTTTTAAAGATGACAAAAATACCTGCAGACACCAAAACAAATGTTACAGATCTTACTAGTTTACTTGATCTTGCATTTTAAAGTGTCTGACTTCTGATTTGCAGGGGCTTCAATCAGAAAGGGCTGCCCTCGGCAACCAGGAGGAGAGGCAGGTTTGCGCTGATAGTCTGGAGGCTCCTTCAGTGAAGCGTCTGAAAACTCAGTTTCACTGTTCAAAGTGTGGTTTCATCACATACGATAGTGCACAGTTCAAGCAGCATATACCTCAGCATAAAACTGATGAAAACACACCTCAGTGCCTTCACTGTGGTCTGTGTTTCACATCTATGCTGTCTCTAAGCAGACACCTTTTCATTGTACACAGAGTCAAAGAGTCCAAGGAGGAGGAGGAGGAGGAGCAGGATATAAAGGTTAGGAAGAAGGAGCTGGGTAATCAACCAGTTAGATCAACAGAGACCGATGAGGTAAATAATTGGTTACAAGAGCTAAACAAAACTGAGCCCTCAAAGGCAGAAGAACCAGCAAGTCTGCACTGTGACAAGACCACAGACTGTAATTTAAAACTGAGCACTCGCTCTCAGACACAATCAGTCTCTCTTCCTTAGTGACGGCCACCTACTTAATATCTTGGAGGTGGTGCAAAGTGGCCTTTAATTTTGAAATTTCTTTTCAGAGGCCATGCAGTATATTGAAGTTCATTCTAAACATTTAATAAGGAACTTGTATTTTCATAAACAAGAGGACAAAATAATTTTTCTATTGTTTTTATTTAACTTTGCATGTTGGTGACATATTCATCTTGCTTTTCGGACATAAGTTCTTAATGTTTTTATTGGGGGGGTTGGTTAATTTTCCCACCCACTCTGACAGGAGACTCAGGACTGTCAGTTAGTGTTTAGGTCTGGTATTCAGTGGGCTCACAGTGAAGTGGTGGATTTTCACTTTTGTAATCAACAATAATTTAAATTGTTAAATTTTGTATGCAACATGATGAAAAGGATTAGGGCCATTGTACAAATTTATTTGAGTTGGAATCCCCCCCAGTATTCTCAAGTTTTGTACAGTGGCTCTATTCCTCTTCCGTAGATATATTTAATGCTATTATTACCCGATTGGAATTCAGGTTGCAGTTTTTATGCTACGAATGTGTTGCAGTTATTTTGCATTTTAGAATTTTTAGTCATTTATTATTGCCACAGTATAGTTCGTATTCATTCAAAAGCAGCACTACTCTAGTGTTATGGTAAACAGTTTTTGAAGTATCATGTGAGTTTAAATGGAGATTCAAAGACTGGTGTGGTAATCGCAAACCAAAAACCAGTTTCTTTTGACTCTAAGTGTTTTCAAATGCTTTTGTTTTCATGATGAACATGTTTGATTTGTGCATGCATGTGCTTGTCCCAGATCTGGCCTTAAAAAAAAAACAAACAAAGATTTTCCTCAGTTGTTAAGGGAAAATGTGGAGAGGTATTGAATGTGTGGTGCAACAGTATTAAAATACCTCAAACTGCCAGAAGTGTATTTTTCAGGCATGTGAACAGTCATTGTTATGTCAGATCAGGGTACATTCTTTTGGATAATCCACAGCAGGTGTGAAAGCAAAGTTCGGGAGTATATTAGAGATCATGTCTTAAAAATCAGGACATGTTAACATGAAGTGGCTTCTAGTAAAATTATTGATAAGGTCAGATGAATTTGTTAAATCATTAATGACTTTAGAAGAAATGGTTTCTTACATTAGTGCTAATAATTGTGGGTTTTTCTTGCTCACAGGTCCTGAATTTTAAAGCCGAACCTCTTCTTTTTTTTTTGTATGGAAAGCATGACAGTTCCTACCTCTGTGGTAAATGGCAGTGATTGTTAAACGGTGAAAGGCTTTGAAAAGTTGCAGGTAATCTTTGTGCAATGTAAAAATTTGTTTAAAAAAAGCGTGTATTATCCCACATTATTCAATTTTATAAATTATTTGGGGAATGATAGTTATAGGTTACATGGTCATATTGACTTAACTGGCAAGTGAACTTTTCTATGTAAGTGCTATGTGAGCTCTTCATTTCTGTGTTGTCTTAAAACCTTAAATCACCACACTGCAGCGCTCAGTCTGCAGAAACAGAATGATTTGCTTGTGACTTTTTTTGTAATACTTGTTGAGAGAGATTTGTACTTTTGATAGTGTGTACAATGTGGACTTGTATAGTTTCCCGTGTACATACGCTAGTCAACAGGATCCGCAGCATTTCTTAAGCCATTACATCTATTCAGCATGCAGTGGCCCATGTGCCTTGCTGTTATGTTTACATAAAGTACTTACAAATAAATTGGTGCATACTGTATATCTTTGTTTTTTGTCTATTTTAAACTTATTGAATACTGAGGAGGGAAGCATCTAATGGTGATAATAGGTGGTTTTAGATTGATGATGCTTTTTTTTTTTTACAATTATGGTAAGTCACACTGACACAGGCGCTGTGACGTGTGACGTGCGTCATGCATCTACTAAGAAATGCAACACAGTTAGATGACTTCATTTCATTAGAATATTAAGCCCATCCTATCTCAGTATAACTGACTGTCCTCAGAGTAACAGAAGAGTAAAGAGATTTTAACTAACAAGCACCACATTGCAGAACACACATCTGAGGAATGAAAGGCACTTTGACAAAGATCTGCAGAGCACGACTCCTGGCTTCTTTCATCCTCATTGTGTGCATTACAATGACATCTTCAAAGACTCGTGATATAACTGAGCTGAGAAATAAAGTTTCAAAGAACAAGGTGAATTCGAGGGGGAATCTGTGGGCAACAGGTAAGAAAAATAAAGTAGTTTATGTTACTGTTCTTTTTTAAATGTACTTTAACATTTTACATTGAGATTGGTTGTTTTGTTCAATAAGGGCATTTCATGGGCAAGAAGAGTGTTGTGGATAGGTCCTTTATGGAGTCTACCTCTGAAGGCACTCTCACTGAAGTCAGATCTGGTGGTCACAGACAGGAAGACCTGCAGGCAGCGCTTATCCAGGTGCTGCAAACTGTCGAACAGACACAGAGGAAACGCGTACTGGAAATGTTAGTGAATTATTATATTGCTGTTGTTGTAAAGCCGTCAACTGCACAGCTGATTATATTTTCCATTCATTTAGAGGAGGACGAGATCGTGCTTGAGGAACATTTGAGATGTTACACCATAAATATGAAATCCTGCTGATGAAGACAAGTTTTTTAAATCTTGTGAAAAATAAGCTCTAATGTAAATGGGTTTCTGTTTTTAATGTGATATGTTACATTGACTGATAGTGTGATGTCAATCTGCATGACTGCTGTTAATAAAACAGACCAGTGGGCAGCCTTTTTTGCTTTGTTTTGTTTTTTGTAGTTTATTATGTTATTAAAAATGCAGTGAAAGTGTGTCTTAATTTCTATCCTAGCATTTTCACAAAATGTTTAAATGCTATCAAAATGTTAAGGAAGAATAACCAAGTCGGTGCTCACAGTCAAATGCCATTAGGTTTGTGTCGCCCCCTGTTGGTCTTCTTGAAAATAGTTTGTGATCATATCCGGGTGAAAGTGCATTTGTTTGTATCATCCTACTAGGCTAGTTTATTTGAAAACACACAGTAGCTATGCCTCTAATAGTGATGTGTGGTTACCCCTGTAGTGGTAAAACACGGAGGGCAGAAGAGCTGAAGGTGTATTTTGAACAGAACACTGAACGGAAGGTCCATATTGTGGGAGACAGAGCCCTGGGCGTTGACAAAAGCGATGTTTACGCAGGCAAGTTAAGCTAACGTTAACCATGTGTGTGATAGTCATGAAGGTATTACGTATATGTGACTAGCTGCTGGGTTTTCGTGAATTTTCGGAAGTCCTTTTACATGTTATCTTTCCATCAAGTCGTTCATATTATTTAAATAACTACAAAATCACGCTGCCGGATGGTTGGCTACCTTTGCTCCGAGCTAAGCCAATTTACCTGGGAAAAAAATAATGGTTATCCAGAGAAACGTTACTCTAAAAACACAACTTATATCTAAAATATACTTGTTTCTATGCTGTTGTATACTGAAACCTCATTAAAGTTTTCATTTGGAGTACGTGTGTGCTATCGATAGACTGTGCCGCATTAAATTATTGGCATTTTGACTGGAGTTTGGCGTGCGTGTTTTTCCTCTGATCAGCCCCTATTAGCTTAATCACCAGCCTATAGTTTTCGATCTATAGTTCACCATCTTACCACGTCTGTAGTATATTGTCACCATTAAAAATATTTATTTAGTTCACAAGATCATCATCTCGCCGCTTTGTCTATTAATCATCAGTTAAAGGATCTTTAACTTTTCAGTTTCCCTGTTTTGTGAGTTATCCCAGCTTGTGTCTCTCATATAGGCTATGACACAGCTAATACATGAGAGGCACAAGCTGGAGCTAGAGTTATCCATACTCTTCCCATACAGTATGATATATAGACAGTCCCTATAGGGTTTATTGACCAAACAGCAACACAGCCTTGTTTGCATTTGCTAAACAGTAACACTAAAAGACGGTTTTGAGACTGGACCCTAGAAAGTAACCTTGGCCTTAGCATTAACTTGCTGGATATGTTTCAGACTCCCAGAAAGAAAAAAACGTCAGAGCAGCTCTGAAAGCTGAGGTAGAGAGGTGGGTTTCATCAGTTTCACAGTTTAGATCCATTACTGATGTTCCACTGCTGCTGCTCTTTTAATGTTTGTTTGTTTGTTGTTTAGGAAAGTAAACAAGGATGACATCGTAATTTTCGACTCATTAAATTACATAAAAGGTAAGCTGTGTAATTAACACTGTGGTGTGTGTATTCTGAATTAAAACACATTTGTTTATGCTTTTACCTTTTTAAAATTGAAGTACCTTACAGGCTACCGCTATGAACTGTTCTGTCTCATCAAACATGCACAGACACCACACTGCCTGGTAAGTGTACTAGATAAATGAGAGGTTCCAGTGTGATTAAGAATGATTTACATTAATCAGACAAGTCCAAATCATATACTTTCTTTTGGTGAAGGTATACTGTTTGACGTCAGATGAACAGAGCTCATCATGGAACACCAACAGAGATGCTGCTGAGCAATACACCCAGGACCTGTGAGTGACACACACGGTACTGTATACAGTAGGTGCTTGTGAGTGAAGGATTTAGCGATACCTTTATGTCTGCCATTGTATTCAGTTATTTGTGCTTGTAATTTGCCTTGTGTCCATTTTGTCTCTTGTAGCTTTGACGCGTTAGTTCTGCGATTTGAAGCTCCAGACTCGAGAAACCGATGGGACAGTCCTCTCTTCACCATCCTGAAAGATGACACACTTCCATATGAAGCCATTTCTGATGCACTTTTCAAAAGAAAAGCACCCCCACCTAACCAGTCTACGCAGAGTGTAAGGGACGAACAGTACAATATTCAGTATGCTGCCCTTTTTGACTGCCTGACTGTAATAGCTCCTTGTTTCTCTGCAGCAACCACTGTCATCTTCGAGTTTCTTGTATGAGTTGGACAAGATCACACAAGATGTGTTAACGGTATGTTTTCATTTATCAGTTTGTTAGTGGGTTTTTTTTTCTGCTGGAATAGTTTTTGCTGGTGCCATTATATCTTTGGACTGCTTTATGTCATAGTTTAAGATCGCACACTATGAAGATAAAAACTGGCCTGAAAAATACCTGGTTTAATGCACCACTGCATCATCCCTCTATAATGTGTTTGATAAGGGTTATTTACATATTTCAGGCAATTTTTAACGCACAGAAGACAAGTGTTCCTGGGGATCTCATTTCGGTTCCAGGAGCTACAGAGAAGATATCCTTTTTATATATCATTTATATGTCCACATTGTTATTATTACTATATTCCCACTACCAATGCTGCATTACAGTTTAGAAAAATCTTTTCACATTGAATAGATTTTGGTAGATCTGTTTTCATGTTTGCAACCCTGTGTGGTGTCACAAATCCAGGTGCTAAATGACTTTTGCTTACATAGTTACAAAATACTCAACATAGGATTTGTAAGAAAAAGAACTTTGTCATTATATGCTCGACATACAATGAAATTGCACTTGCAGTTTCTCTCTTGTGGTACAAAAAAAGCTCTATCATACCTTGAATATTTATTTCTATTACCTCTGTTAATTTCTGTTGACTCATTTTCAACATCCACTTCTTAAGGGAAGTCATATTCCCTAACCAGTGGGGGCAAAGTTCTGCATATCAGATGAGTTGTTAGAAGGGGAAGGCTGATGAATGCACATCCATCAAAGGACTTAAATGAAAGGCACAGCAACCAATCACTGTTAAAGGTCTTGCCTGATGGAAAGAAACCAAATTACACAGATTAGTGGATATTGGCAGCTGCAGTGTCTCTTTCTCATAAGCAAAGACTTTGATTTTCTTCTTTGAACGTGCTAGTTCAAGCAGAAACCAGCTTGAAAGTAAATTAGGTTCTGCACTGGTCAACCTTTAATGGCAGGTGCATAATTAGATTTTGAAACCACGTCAGTAGCATTCAGCACTTGTTGTCCTCAGTATTTAAGGTGTGATACCTTGACCTTCAGGTACTTTGGTCAGTTAGCTTTTGCATCTTTAGTGTCCAGCCATGCAATAGTAAACTGTGTGTGTGGGGGGGTGGGGGTGAGAACAGCTTAAACATGGAACGAATAGTAATCAAATGCCCTTAACTTGATGCTGAACATGGAGCTCACCAGGAGCATCAACATGGCAGAGCTGCGGAAGTTACGCCGCCAGTTCATCAGCTATTCTAAGATGCACCCAACAGAGAACACAGGACAAATATCCAACATGTTTGTGCAGTATTTAAATAAGAGTCTTCACTGAAATTGTATGGCATTGGTTTCTTTATTTTCTTTGACAAATAAATGTATTTAAATGTTGTTTAAATGCATTAGCCATTTTACACTCATTTACAAACATTTATGATCTGAAAGACAATTTGTCATCAAAATATTTCAGATAAAGTACCGATACATTGTGCAAAAAGAAGAAATGATATTTGACAGAAATACCCAAAGTCCACTTACCTTGGGTTTCCAAAGCTTTCAGCCATAACATATGACCTTCCTCAGCAAACATGAGTTATTCAGGTATGAAGAGACCATTGTGTTAAGAATTTGTTGTCAACAGCAGGTGACATAATGAACCTTCAGGCTAAACGTATGCCTTAGGTTTTTAAATTACAGTAAATAACACTTCTCACACCAAATGATAACATGATTTATTGGATCAAATTGGATTTATTTATTGGAGCAATATATAATTTAATTGAAATCTTGGTGGCTATATCAATGTATGCAATCTTCACTGCTTCTTTTCACTGGCTGCCTTCCTCGAGACAGTCTTGTTTTTGTTGGAATATTTTTTTCTATGAATACCTTTCTACTATTACCATTATATTTTCTTCGGTGATGTTAACACTAGCCTGGACTGAATGTCTTTAGGTGGATGTACCTGCTCATTTTGACTTTGTTTCTGCATCCCAGTCCTCCCTCCCAGTGGCTGGTGCGTGTGCCTCGTGTCATCATGCTCCCACAGCTCATGCATGGCTTTCCATTGCCGTACGGCTGCAATAACAAATGTGGGAAAGGTTACATCCGGGAAATATTTATATTTGTGGGCAAAGTCTACCATCTGTCTTATGCAGTCATGCTTCCACTAGGAACCAGTGAGCTGAGCCAATCAAGATGGCACTTCTACTTTTCCATTGCACTTAATTGTTCTGTCTTCTTTTATGAATACCTTAAGGTTTCCTGACTGGCTCAAAATACCTCCTGAATGTTGTGCAGGTCTGACTTGCAACTAGTGGAAGCATTTGTTTGAGGGTATCGCTGTCAAAGAAGGGTTTATTAGTTATTAAATGCAAAGGCCACTTACCTTTTCCACCATGTTTATTAGGTGTGTTTAAGAAAGATTAAAACTGATTGTGTGTTAAGAGCTACTCAAACAAATATCATATAAAGGTACGTAAATAATATGGCTTACAGGGACATCGAAGAGTCAAATGTCTTCGTCTACAGTGTATGACTGTGGTTTGTAGATGCTGACTAATGAATTTCAACTTGGTCATGTATGTAAACCACCACAGGATTTTGCTGGCAGAGAAACACTAACCTTTATGCTCTTTACCTGTGGTGATCTACGACACTGTACTTATTCTCTGCAGTGAGCTGATTATAAGTGAGCCTAGATACAGTACCAGTATAGGCTCTGATATCAGGTCATGTCTATAGCTCACCTGTTCTTTGGCACAGAAGCCACAGATCATCCTGGTGGCGAGCTCCATGGGGTGGTCCTGGTCCTCATCATGGCATGCATCGCAGGGGTAAGCCCGGCCACAGCAGGGGAACCTAGAAACACGGGTACAATGCTTTCATCGGCTTATCTAGGAATTTCTCAAAGCTCAGATATCATACATTATTAAACTATCATTATTATTATTATTATTATACATGGGATAATAGAACATAGTGAAGACAATACCTTAGCCAGCGATGGCTCTGTTTGTAATGTCTGCATGTTCCTTTTTCTGGCAGTGGCTTTCCCTTTTGCACAGCAGGGTCTCTTATCGTCTTGAAATTAACAGTACTTGAACCTGCACAGAATCGGGGAGAACCCCCATTAAATGACCTTTCTGGACTGTTTAGGTACAGTAAACATTTAAGTCTGTATATATAAAAGTTTTCATGCACTGTATAGCTGTAGAAATAATGTGAGGTAACACTGGTCAAAGAGTCTGTGGTAATTAGTTTTTCTGATTGTAAATCTTTGCTGATCCTTTGAGAAGAAACATGGGGGAAATCTGACCTGTTTTATTGGCACGTGGCTGAATATACTGGAACATTGTACTTTCAGCCAAGATACTGAGTTTGCTGTGGCAGTGTTCACAATTAAACTCCTTTGTTTGTCCATAGGAAATGCTCTGATAAAAAAATAAACAAAAAAAGCCTGATCAGAAATCATCAACATTTCACGGTGTTGATTTTCACACAAAACTGATGGGTAGTGTTAAGCAGGGCATGTTTCACCACCTGCACAGGGCTCTCCTGGGAGCAGCTCAGGCAGCCCACAATGAGTTCACAGTCCTGCAGCACAAGGTCAGCAGGTCCAGCGTTGTGGAGGTCTAGATATCCCAGGACATCACTGTAATGGTGGAGCATGCAGGGCCTGAATGCAGCATTGATGCTTGCACTGCACTTCTCACACTCAGCTATGCAGGGTGCCCTTCCAGTGAGTGTCAGGTCTGCAGTTACCTTACACCTGTAGACAGCACAGATTCAGCACTGAGTCAGGTTTGCAACTGAGGAACAGATCTTACATTTCTGATGTGGTCATCATATTAAGTGTTCTTTTTTTCCTTACCTATTGCACTGAAGACAAACTGTAACCTGATGGGCAGCGACAGTGGCCGTGTTCTCTCCCAGCCTCAGTCCCAGCATCTTCACCTCTGTGCCTCTGCGAGGATCACTGATCCTAATGTTCTCCACCAAATGACTGGCGACCTCCTGCTGCCCTTCACTGCAACCTGGATCCCCCTGCTGCACCAACATTCCTCCCTCCAGTTCTGAATTTTCCAGTTTTCTTTCATTACCAGCATCCTCATCTGCACCTACAGCAGCAGCAGTGTCAGAGGAACTCTCTGATTTCTCACACACTGTTGCCTGTAGCTCTTGGTATGGTATAAACTGCAGTCCAGCCTTTTCTAAATCAATGTCTTTTTTCAACTGCAAAAATGTCAAGACAAGAGAAGATGTAATACTCAGCATTAAGAAAAACTAAAGGATTTATTTATAATTCACTAAATTCAAAGGGCAGACATGTTCACAACCATGTTTAAGCAGGATGCCATCTTACCTGCCTGGCTCCTTCAGTGAAAAGTCTCTCCAGACTACGATCTAGCCAGCGAAGAAAAGGACGGAAGAGCAGCTCTACCTTTCCCAGAAGCTGATTGGTTGCATGCTTGGCCTGAAGCCACTCCCGGGATGCTTGCTCTACATGTCTGCAAAGGCAGAAAAAAAAAGAGAAATGACTCCAACTAGTGTCAACATGACAATTCAAACCATTAAACATTCAAATAAACTGCAGGTTATTTTACATTGCCATTACTGGTGGCAGATCCTGGTCCAATGGTATGTCCAAGGTGAAAATCTAAGGAAAATGTATCAAGGTAATGAGGAACTGTTCTGTTTATGTCACTTACTAAATATATTACAGAATATTTAGTGGTGGTCCTTACCTCTTGTGGGTAATTGTCTGGGAAGCAAACCATGATGTCAATTTCTTTTAGGTCAAATGGCTAAAAGTTAGAATGGAAAAGGTCAGTATATTACAGATAATTGTAAACCGAGATGTACTCTGTTATAGAAATAACATGGGTGAATGTTCACTGTAAGCTCTTAGGGGGGAGGAGAAAAAATAAAATAAAATGATTACCCAGTCTGGGTCAGTGGCCTCTACAGTCACCCTGTAATAAGTAACTTTTCCATCACTTCGTTCCTGAATAATCAGCTGGTCTTTGGGAAAACGTTTCTTTAACTGCGTGATCTCAGTGTCTCGCAGCTGCTTGGCGACCTCCTCTGTCAGGTCACACAGCTTGACCTCCCGGAGGAGGTTAGAGTGGGATGCTGGTGGCATCCTCTGAGCAGGTCTTGCATGATGGCCAGGAACAGGCAGGTCATCCACTGAGGGAAACTGTGGTGGATGCCAGAAGCGACATCTGTCCTCCATGGTGCAATGGCCAGAGATAAAGTAGCGACAGACACGGTTACCAGCTACTGGGACAGAACTGTAGTTATTAGTGGGAGGAGGCCTTTGCTCTAGATTCTTTCCAGGGCCCTCAGAATTTGGAGGTGTGACATCTGACTGGCCTGATGTCCTGATTTCTTTATTCTCATGAGCACTGGCATCATCTCTTACATGTAAAAATTTACATTTCTTCCCAAAATTGCAGTGTCTTCCGTGAGAGAAGAAGCGGCACAGCTGCTGTGTGTGAGGAACTGGCTCTGATTCACTCGTCCTCTCACTATCACCATTCTCCATTGCTATTAACACCTGAATGAATGAACACAGTAACACAGATTATACAGATCTATCTACGTCTTTCACTGATGTGTAAGGAGCAGTGTAATGATAAAATAGGCAAGAGCCTTCTTCAAAATGCCGGCACAAAGAGGAACAAATACACTGTTCTGCATTTTGAGAACAGTGGTTCCCAAATTTCTGGCTCATGACCTTCGTGTGAATGTGAGTTGTGAGCAGTTCACAGTGGAGTAGTTTTCCTTATCTGACAATAAAAATAAAATTAAAAAGTACATTATTTCGTTTAACAGAAATAACTGGTGAGGTGGTGATGGAAGTCCTGACCCCCGTGTCACTAGTCTGAAAGAACATATGCTGTAGCATCTGAAGTACTATGTCTACAGGAGTGTCACCTTTGGTCACATAAACATGATGACACTTTATTACAGACTCAAGGTCCAAGGTCAAAAACAAATAAATAAAATAAAAGAGAACAATAAAAACAGAAAATACATAAAAACGAGAGCACAAGAAAGTAGCTACATCCAGTTTTTCTCCTGTTAAATCCCTATCAGATACCCTTGAACCTGTTGTATTGCTCCACGTGAACGATCTATAAGAAGTATCTATGAAAACAGAATTATTCATAAACGTTTTGCTGAAAATTGCTATAGCCGGTCTAGCAGTGCATTCGTGGTCTGCAACATCTAAAACTGCATTTAAGTGCCATCGTAACGTTACCGACACTAAAGTCAACCAGCCTCGGATTATGATGAGAGCCAACATTAGCAATCTACCGTTACCTAGCTAGACATCTTTTTAGAGTCGTAAAATCAAATCAGTTAGCGTTATTGTTGGAGGCGACATTACCGCAAATCCACACAAGGGTAGGCGTAACGGTGTATTCCGCGAAATGATAAAACTATAATCTAAATTAAGTGTTCAACGGAAGCTTCAAATACCCTTCTAAAGTTGCATTAACCTAGCAGCTAATTTACCTGTCAAGTGACTCCACCATAAAAGTTACGTGCTACAGGAAACGCATTCGTAGCGTTACGTCATTACGTGCACAAAAGTTTTTGTTTTTTTTATTAAGTCAAACCAAACAGACAAGCAATTACAAAGTCTAATACAAATATTGAACAGTACAAAGACTGAGCATGTTCAAAATTAACTAACATTATTCCAATAGAACAGGAAAGCCAAACGACAAAAAAAGCATTCAGTCCGCCTTCTTCCAGTGATTTAATAACATCATTCTTCCTTATATAATGGTGTGCACAAAAGGTTCCCAATCTGTAGGGGTAACAGTCGCATCCATGATGTAGTCAAACGAGACTACTGACTGTAAAGGCTATAGAGATTTTTGTTACAGGCAGGATAGAGGTTCCCTGTTGTACGTTGGCTACTAATTGTATGGATGCTGACTCAGCATCCATACCTTGTTTTCCAAATCTTTATTATTATTATTCTTATAATTTTTGTATGGATGCTGATTCAGCATCCATACTATGTTTTCCAATTATTTCTTTATTGTAGAAAAGCATTTAGCAGTGGTCCACTTCCTACCAAATCTAACCTTTCAGTCAATTGTCCTGACTAGACTTTGGCTAAAGTCCTGACTAAATTTTGCCCCATTCAAATGAATGGGAAAATTCTACTTCAGCACACTTTCAGGTATCAAAATATTCAGCTCTTCAATGACATTCATGGTCCTATTCAAGATTTTTTCTAAACTTCATACTTTTGAAATATTTCGCTTTATTTTGAAAATCTTGCCCCATTCAAAGGAATGGGAAGATTTCACATATTCATACTTTCAGCTATTTCAGCTATTAAAATGTTCAGCTCTTCAAGGACATTCATGCTTCTCTTCAGAAGTTTTCTAAACTTCATACTTTTAAAATATTTAGCTTTATTTTGAAAATCTTGCCCCATTCAAATGAATGGGAAAATTCTACTTCAGCATACTTTCAGCTATTTCAGCTATCAAAATGTTCAGCTCTTCAAGGACATTCATACTACTATTCAGCCGTTTTCTAAACTTCATACTTTTGAAATATTTAGCTTTATTTTGAAAATCTTGCCCCATTCAAATGAATAGGAAAATTCTACTTCAGCACACTTTCAGCTATTTCAGCTATCAAAATGTTCAGCTCTTTAAGGACATTCAGAACTTTTCAAAACTTCATACTTTTGAAATATTTAGCTTTATTTTGAAAATCTTGCCCCATTCAAAGGAATGGGAAAATTTTACTTCTTCATACTTTCAGCTATTTCAGCTATCAAAATGTTCAGCTTTTCAAGGACATTCATACTACTATTCAGAAGTTTTCTAAACTTCATACGTTTGAAATATTTAGCTTTATTTTGAAAATCTTGCCCCATTCAAATGAATGGGAAAATTCTACTTTCAGCTAGCAAATCCATTCAGGTGTCAAAATGTTCAGCATTTTCAGGGCAATCTTTCAGCACTCAGCATCCATACGCATTTTCCTCAGAAAATGCAATTCTGTAGTTTGTTTTGTTGCCCTCTGCAGTCTCAGAGGTTCTAAGGTCATTGTTGACCTTGAAAATAGCCTTTGAGAAAAGTTTTCAGTCATATCACGATGATCATTAGACACTAGTGGAGAAAGTATTTCTTTATTATGTTTTGTTAATCAAATTTCTTACCGATGGCCGCGATGTCAGTCACTGCCTGGCCACCATGGGCAACTAAGGGTTGAGGGCACTTCATCAGGAATCGAACCACCAACCTCCTGAACCACAGCCACCCCCTGTTCTTAAAGCCTTTACTTAAGTAAAAGAAAAATAGGCTACCAAATACACCAATATAAAAATGTTCAATTACAAGTAAAAGTCTTGCCTTCCAAAGTGTAGCCTAGCCTACTTAAAGTATTATCAGCTAAATGTATTTAAAGTATCAAAAGTAAAAGTACATCATTGTGCCTAATAGATTATTAACAGGACTATTAGATTATTAATGTGCCCATGAATGAGTAAGATTCACCTACTCCTATAGTTGATCAAGAAGAAGTTGGTTTTAACTGCTTTATAAAGTTCCCAGGTTCCCAACCTAGGTGCAAGCTACATCTTGGGAGTTGTAAAATGTCGTTGTTTTTTGTGAAACAGTGACTAATCTGGGCCACAAACTGTTATTTAATTGAAACATGTGAGATGATTGTCTCTTTGGTGGAGCTACAAAGATATCTGCAACATGACAAGGAGGCCCCAAGTAGACACTGCTTTTTTGTAAAGAGTATTGTTTTGTATTTTATAATTTTATCATGTGTTTTAATAAATATATAGGTTTCAATTAAAAAGTAACAGTCCAAAGTCAGTTCTTGGTGTGTGAAAACAATTAGATTACAGACCACAAACTACTACAACTAGACTTTTTAATCACAAGATTATTGAGCCATTGTAACATAATTTTTTAAATTGCTCAGGAAAAAATTGGAAATTTGAACACTTGCATTTTGATTATGCAACACCGGCCCACATCCTCCTCCACCCCCGGCCCCCCAAATCCCAGTCTCCAGCCTCTAGCGAAGGAGAATGCTTGAACAGGTGGGTTCACTGGGCAGATAGCTAGCAGACGAAATATGGACAAAAATACGAACATAAAGAGGAAGGGCATCGCTGAAAATGCCAGAGCTGAAACAAATTAAGTCATTTCAAGCTGATCTATAACATGCATGAAGATACAGTAGGCCTTTCATATTGCGAGCACTAGCAGCAGCACTGCCGGCGCTAACGACGCTGCCTTTAATTCTGATGATTGATTGACGGAGTTGCACAAAGGAGAGATGCTGAGAATCCAGTAAGGTAAGACATATTTCTCTAAAACTTGTTTTTGATAACATTCTATGACATTCTTATTACTCCCACATCTCTGCTTTTCTTCGTTCACTGTGCTGCGGTTTACTGTGTGCGGGGGTGGGGATGGGGGGTGTTGAACCCAAAATGCTTAATCCACCCATAACTGCCGATTTTTTTTCTTCCTTTTAGCTTGACCCTCATCAGTGACACCCATGCCTCCATCCCCACCTCGTTCTTCCACCCCGAAGTGACAGACGCTACCCTCTCTCTCCATCCCTCAGTGCCCTTCACTCCATCACCCTCACCTCCTTCCTCCACCCTGGCCAGAAGATATGTTACCCCACTTTTTATTTATTTATTTATTTATTGTTCATAGACACCAATACCCTAGCACTAGTACAAAGGTGTAGAATAGCTCTGCCTGGTGTTTATTTAAAGGTTTCTAATTTATTATAGACCAACAATACCTAAGAGTAACTGTACCATTACAGAAGCAGAAACATTTGATATTTGTGCTTACTATTTATATTTATTGCTAGTAGGGCAGGTCTGGCTATTCATGGGTTGATTGCAGTGAGCTGGTCTGTGTAAAAAAAAAAAGTCCTGGCACATTTTTTAATCTCAGTTTGACCGAGAAGCTCCAGAACAGCTACTAAATTGGCCTTGTGGTGAGATTGTTTCCATTTCTCCCTCACAATAAACTTACAGTACAAGATTAAAGCTTTCTTATAACTTTAAGATTTATACCTGATCTTTATACATGTAAATATCAGTATTATATATATGGTTTCTACTGAATATTGTCCAGCTTGTGTTCATAAAACAAGATATCTATACTGCATCAGTACAAGAACTCACTCAAGTACACCTGCCCATACCAAAAAATACTTGAATACAGTACACTAAACAGGATATTGTTATAGTATATTGCAATTTGTGATTATGTTTGTGCTCTTTGTGTCTGTACCTTGAAAACAATTCCACTCACCTTTTAGCACCTTGCTCTTTCTTTAAATTACAAAGTAAACTATGTGTATACCCATGTAAAAATGGCAGATAAATTCACTTGAGCATGAACAAAAATACAGCATAAACAGAAGGTATGAGGGAGTAAAGTATAGGATTTTGAAATTTGTCATGTGGAGAGCTATATGTTACTGGTTACCCTGGGGTGTATGAATAATTTCTTTCGCCCAGCTGTTACTTGACACCACACGGTGAGCAAAGGACAAGCAGGCGCTCAAGGGATAAAGTCTTTACCATAGCTGGTGTTTTTGACTGGAACATCTACAGTTCTCACACGTTAGATATAAGATAGTGACCTTGTAATTTTTACTTCAGGATGCATCTTACAGAGACTGCTATACATTTTTGGAAATCATGCTTAGGAAGTGACTCTGTGCTGCAGCCATTGTGGGACTGCATGAGGCTCAACTACACCGACTATTTGAGATCTCCACTTTTTCCTGTTGTTCTGACTGTGTCTTCATACTTTGTCTTCAGCTTTCCGTTTCTTATTTGTGACATCGTGGGGGACAAGTGGGCATGGGTCCAGCAATTTAAGATCCAACCTAGCCATCGGCCAACGGCCTCTAAGCTGCTGCACTGTGCAGGTATCACCTTGTACAACCATGTGTTCTTTGTGCTCCCAGCATCAGTGGCCCAGTGGGCATGGAGGCCACCTGTGGACCTGCCGGATCAGGCTCCATCCCTGCTGGAGCTGATTATTGGAGTGGTAAGCAATCTCCTACTCTTTGACTTCCAGTATTTCATTTGGCACCTGCTCCATCACAGGATCCGCTGGCTGTATGTCACTTTCCACGCCATCCATCATAAGTATTCAGCTCCCTTTGCACTTGCCACTCAGTGTCTTGGTGGCTGGGAGCTGGTGACAGTCGGCTGTTGGACCACCCTGAATCCTATGATCCTGAGGTGCCATCTTCTCACTACATGGGTCTTCATGGTGTTGCACGTCTATGTTTCGATTGAGGATCACTGTGGGTATGACTTCCCCTGGTCCACTTCCCGTCTGATTCCGCTTGGCATCTACGGAGGGCCCAGCAAGCATGATGTGCACCATCAGAAACCCAACACCAACTTTGCACCACATTTCAGCCACTGGGACAAAATATTTGGCACACATGCTGATTTCAGCTTCTGTACTGCTATGAAATAGAAGTCGGTTACATTGTAGTTGCAAGCAGTTGTAGAAACCTGTATTTTTATGCATCTGTATTTGTTTTTTGCAAATTATGTGGATATTAAAATGAGCAGTGGTGGCAGTTGAAAAGAAATCAACATTTTCCTTTAATGGAGTTGTGTTACTGTATTGTACTTGAAAAATAACACTGTCAAAATGTGTTACAGTTTCTTATATCTTCAGTGACGTTGAGCAGATCTGTTAATCATATCTCAAAAGTCATTTGAACTTTAAGCACAATATAATAAAATTATATCTAAAATGTAAATTGTCTCCCAATAGTTTCTTTAAACTGAAAGTGATCTGAGCTTTAAATTTGGCTTACATTACATTAAATGATACATAGTTTGAGCCACTTTTCTACTCTTTACTGGTGTTATGCTTCTAATAATATAATTAGTTTAATTTCATTGTGTTTTGGGGCCCAGTGACAAAATAATTGAATTACATTTCATCATAAATCTTAATTGTATGGACATTGGTTATAGGGCTTACCTATTAGGTTATTCTTTAGTTATGAACTACCTATAAATTAGGCTGTACTTTAAATTGCCTTTTGTGGGCCTATTTCATGTAACCTGACCAGTAATGCCCGACTGGTAGTGATACTATAAAATGTTTTATGTATGATGGAAAAGTATAGGTCACATTTTGTATTCTACCACTAGATGGCAGTAAGTAGCATACTTTCGTTTACTATTGTCATTTCGATTAAATACTTTTATATTTTACGGTGTATAGGATATCACAAACAAACGCTTCTTGGTTGCAGAAAAATAAATAGTTAAATATTGCATAGAGAATAATCTGAAAACTAGGCTTATAAAACAAAATTTGGGGGTGGTTATTTGATCCCCGAGGGTTTGTTATTGTGGTTGCATTAGTGGCGCTGCGTTGCCAGTGCAATCAGAAGCAGTGACAGAGCTGGGATGGAGTGTGAGTGCAGGAACTGACCGGGACAGGTCTGAGTAGAAACCTGCATAATTTTCAGCACCGACAGCACTCAATTCTCGTGGTTAAGATGGGGCAGTGTGGCATCACGTCGTCGAAGACGGTCCTTGTTTTTCTGAACCTGCTATTTTGGGTAAGTTTGGAGGTTTATGACAGTTTCAGACGTGCGTCACAGCGCAGCAGCTAACGCTAACTAGCTAGCTAGCTAGCTATGTAGTCAGCTGCTAGGCTAGCAGCGGCAGTCGGCCTTTGTTTAACGACAGAGAGATTAGTTTAAAAGCGTAAGGGAAATGATTTGTTAGATTAGATGATTACCACTAACAGGTTCGTGAAATGAAGCAGCTTGCAAACAAAGAGCTTTTGCTTAATTAAAAATGGCGTTTAAGTCACTTTTTAAAATAACTTTAAGATTCCCCTGTGCCTTAATCCACCACGCAGCAGTACTTGCATAGAAATGCCAGGAGACATTTTAGCTAACATTGTTTAAAATATAATGTTAAGTTGTCTGAGTTTATGTCTGATTTTAACTTCTGGATAACCCTCTTGAGATGCATTATTGAGTACTCAAGGGCGTCCACGCACACGCAAATAAGAAAATAGTTAACAGGCATTTGGACTCTCCCACTCTATTACAAGTGTTATGTGCACAAAACAAGTAAGAAATTAAATAAATAAAACACCTAAACAAAGAAACCATATGTCTAAGCACTGGGGCTGCCTATAGAGTAAGAACAATTTTTAAAAAAGTAAGGCAATTAGCAATCAAAACAAGTAGATTAGTAGTATATTTTAGGTTAACAAGGAAAGGCTTATTGAAGCCATGAAAGGAAGTAATCTGATCTGAGTAAGTTATCTGAGGTAAATAATTCCAGTCTGATTGTGCTTTGAATTTAAAAGTACCAGTCCCAGTTTTCTTTAAAAAAAAATTTAGATACCATAAAAAGTGTAGGGTGTTAGGTTAGGGTAATGTAACAGGAATTAAAAGCTGTTTTGACTATAAAGGATCATTAAGTGCATTTGAAAACAACGAACATTCAGTGAAAATCTCTCCTACATTAAAGTGGTAACCAGTTAAGTGTTTTTTTTATACATGAAACAATGCTACGGAATCCATAAGACTGAATCTACATGCATATGATTCAGAGGCGTTCTTTAAAATATCATCATAATCATCCATATGAAACAAAAGCTGCGAGACACAGCTGTTTTATAAGCCATGGTGGCAGAAGTATTAAGATCCTTTACTTGCTTAAAATGACACTTTTTAAAGTAAAAGCCATACATTCAAATTTTTTACCCATGTAAAAGTATAACTATTATCAACAAAATATATTTAAAATATCAAGTAGATCTCTATACTTATGTGGGTAATATATGTACTTGATTACTGATGCAAACAGTGACTACTTAAGTACTCTGGAGGTAATTAAATCTACAATAATGCCTTCTGGTAATTGATCCTAACCTATGAGTGGGAATGACCTAGCTCTGGTCTATGTAAAATCCTAATATACAAACTAACTATAGCTATCAAATAAATGTAGTGGAGTAAAAAAGACAGTACTTTTCTATGAAATGTACTTTATATTGGTGTAAAAAAAATCTCAAGTGAAGAATACTCCCAAGCTTGTACTTGAGTAGAGATATATACTTTCCACCACTGATGATAAGTGTAATGTTTCTGATGATATATTGTACTGCATGTTAAGTACTAAGCAACAACTATCCAAAACACAAGCACAGCATTTTGTTTTCTCACTTTTTACCACTTGATTTCATTTTGTAGACAGACCTGATTACATTGTTGATGTTTTTCTCACCCGCAGGCTGCAGCTGGCATCCTGTGTTATGTTGGAGCGTATGTCTTCATTACATATGATGATTACGATCACTTCTTTGAAGACGTGTACACTCTCATCCCTGCAGTGATCATCATTGCAGTTGGAGCCCTCCTTTTCATTATTGGACTCATTGGATGCTGTGCTACAGTGAGAGAGAGCTATTGTGGACTTACGACGGTCAGTAAACCAATTAGCTTAACAGAGAAAAGTAGCATTCATACTTTGGAAACAATGACCTTGTGTAAGCAAATAATCAAAGATTAACTTCAAAACATTTATAAATGCAAAGTGGGATTTTTACAAGTATTAGAACAGAGTATAAACATTTAGAACTTGCCAGAGTTGAAGTTTTAAGGTGTTGAAATTGAATCCACAGTTTGTCGTCATTCTCCTGCTGGTTTTCGGGACGGAAGTGGCAGTGGTTGTTCTTGGATACGTTTACAGAGCAAAGGTGAGTTGATTTGTACTGTTTAAGGAGATGTGTTAACAGATGTGTAGTCTCACCCTTCTTAACCTTTGCCAGGTTGAAGATGAAGTTAATAGGTCTATCAAGAAAGTGTATGACAAGTATGACGGCATCAACAGCAATGCCCAGAGCCGTGCCATTGACTATGTCCAGAGACAGGTGAGGACAGAAACACTGTCTCCTTTGTCACCGGTGACAGGGTGCGTTAGAAGTAGTAATCTTTGTGGTGTCTTCATTTTCACAGCTCCATTGCTGTGGGATCCACAATTACTCAGACTGGCAGTATACACACTGGTATGAAGAATCAAAGAACAACAGTGTACCCATCAGCTGTTGCAAAACTAACGTTGGAGGCTGCACAGGATCCCTCACTCATCCTGAAGATCTTTACCAAGAAGTAAACAACCTCTAAGTTTGTCACATTTCCATACAGACAGATTCTTTTAAAATTATATGTTCAAACATATTCTTTGTGTGTGTTTGCTTGTGTAGGGTTGTGAGGCTCTTGTTGTGAAGAAGCTGAAGGAGATCATGATGTATGTCATCTGGGCTGCTCTGACATTTGCTGCCATCCAGGTATTTAACTTTCATTAAAATATCTTGTACCATCACCAGTTTTTAATGAGTTTTATGAGCTGTGGTTTTGTAGCAACATATTTCAGTTGTTTTATTTAAAGACCATGGGACAGAAAGAGTTGTGGCCTTTGTCATTTAAGTACCAGGAAACGTTCAGCATTTACCCTCAAAGAGACACCAGCCATATATTTCCTAACTGAAAAAGATTTTGAAAGCTCAGCATACACATGACTTTTCCTGGTTCAAATTAATTTCCTGTATGGTTTTTTTCCATTTCAATACTCAAGTCTTGAAGCGACAGAAAGTAGCACATATCTTTATACAGCTGTAATTCCCCACCACAAGGCCTTGACGTATCTGAGAGTTGTAACTGCCACATACTGTAACTGTTACAATATATATATATATATGTATA